GTGTAAATTTTAATATAAAATTTGTTAACAACAATATTTCAATGTTCTCATCAAAAAAAACAACCAAAAAAAAAAAAAAGAAGAAAAATCTGAACTCTTCACAGACTAGAAATAGAACAACAACAAAAAAAACAAAAAAAAAGAAAAGAAAATGGAACGTATATTTTTCGAGCAAATAAAATGTTTTTTTTTAGAGAATATTTATGAAAATATACACATAAAAAAAGTATTCCTTTTACAAAGCGAAAATTTAATTTCCAGAAAGAAAATAAAAAATTTTACGCCTAGATAAACCTGAGAAATTAAAATAAAATCAATGAGCATATCGAATCAATTTTCGAAACTTATCAAATAGTTTTATTTTATTATTCTCTTAATAAATAATTTTTGATGATTGAATTTTCATTAATGATACAGAATTATTTTTAAATATTGTTTTATTTAAATGTGATTTTAATTGTAATGATTGTTCATTTAAAATATTTTCACATAAATTAAATAATTGTTGATTAAAATCTTTCATACCTTCATAACCAGGAAAATAATTAACATCAATAACAGCATATTGTTGTGTTTGACAATTAATAATAACATCAATACCAAGTAAATTTAATTCAAATTTTTTTTTAATTAATCTTACTAATTCTTTAATACGTTCATTATCAATAGTAATACCATCAACAATAATATCTTCACCATTATTTAAATTTGAACATGCTTGTGTACTTGATACTTCACTTGAATGAAATGAAATTGTTTCTAATGATTGTGTTATAGTAAAATTTCGAATTGAACTACGTTTAACAATATAAAAATTATCATCATTAATACCAACTAAAAATATTTTAAATAATATTCCATCATGATTAATAAATTGTTGAAGAATACATGGATATTGAATATCAATTAAATGAGATGAATCAAAAATAATTTTCATATTATGAGATTCAGAACCTAAAATAAATACAAAAAAATAATTTATAAATAAATATTTTCTAGTTTTATTTAAATTTGACGGTTGTTTAGGGGTCTAATCGACTTTTTTATTTCCTATACGTTAGTATTTATCTTTTCGAGCTGTTTTCTCGCCTTATCATCAGTCTTATATCTGTACACAAGATATAAGACTTTGTGTGACAAAACTTTGTGACAAAAATTTGGACTGTGAGTCCATACGAACCCCATAACAACTGTAATGTTGTACTGAGGATCACTTCTAATAGAAACTTCTGTTTTTTAACAGTATAAGTGATTGCATATTTCGATATTTGTGCGGACATTTGCCGGCATGTGTTGGAATGGTCAAGTGAGTGATTTCAATTGATTATAAAACTTTTTCTCAAAAAGTGTCTACTAAATGACGTATTTTTGCATATACTTGCACCTGTACAAATGTCAATATATTCATGTCCATAAAGAACATGATAAAAGTCATTGATTAATACATGAAATGACTCAATCAAATGGAAGAAAATTCAAATTTCTCTTACAAATTCGCCTGTGAGTCCAATTGGACCCTCGAATAGCTATGAATTCAAAAAAATGAGAACAAGTTCTCAAGGGTTAATTACCATGTGCTTGAATTGGTTTACAAATAATTGGATATTGTATATTATTATTTGTTAATAATTGTTGAATTTTTTGACAATCATTAGCTGTAAATTCATCTGTAATACTAATAAATGGTGGAACATAAATTGTTTGAATTTCTTTAAGTAATGAATATTGTACATGTCGATTTAATAATTGTGATATTGATTCTAAATTATCAATCATAATTGTACGACCTTTCATTTGTCGAAATTTTTCTAAAAATTGATGTGCCATTTTATCATCATTTAATACTTCACGACATAGAATATCGGTTAATTTATGAACAATAATATTTGGTGGCGATTGTGAATGAATTGAATTAAAATAGTCATCATTAATTTCAATCGTTTTTATTTGAGCTCTTTTACATAAAATTAAAAATTGTTCAAAATGTAATTTATAATATTTTTTACATGGTAAATAATAACCGATTGTTGGCTCCATTGTTCTCGATAATAAAAGTCGGTATTATATGTGTGTGTGTGTGGGTAAATGTGAGTATATTTGACTATGTGAAAGTGGGTAGTACTTGTCTTTTTTTCCTTCTATTCGTTCTCTGTTCGAAGGCTATTAGAACTGTATATTTGTATTGACAAGACAAGAAAAAAAAGAAGGAATGAACTCGTTTTTCTTTCTTTTTTTTCTTCTTCTTTAGTACTGATATAAGGGCAACACATGTGCTATAAATATTTTTCTGAGAGAAAATGCATGTCATTTTCAAAAATATGACAAATGGCAAGCAACATTGAAGAAAATTTCTGACAATACGATAAAAAGTTAATGGGATACTTTAAAATGGATTATGGTGACTCCTTAACGTACTAGTGTACGTTAGGAGGATATTTTCTCTAAGGAAAGATCGTTTTTATAGTACGGCATAGTGGCGCGCTAAGATCACAGTTGAAAATAAATAAAAGATTTTGATTCATAATGTTTTCGATTACAGAAGACATGTGCTCTGAATCATCTCGTTCTATAAATTGCTTTGTTGCAGAGTTGTAACCGATCCGGTCCGGTCGGACCGGTTTCACAAACTTGTGCATATTCGTTCATTTTTCATCAGAAAGATATTATGTATGGGTGCTTAGTAGTTTTTTTAAAGGAAAGAGAGAGTGACAATTTTATTTGAAATGTAAATTTTTTCTTTTTATTCTTTCAATTTGTTTTTAAAGACAAAGTCATATTATTTATTGCTTAAAATATCATAGCAATCGGGACATTGTCACGTATTGGCGTATATATACTTTTATCTTTTTTCTTTAATGTTAATCTAATTTTTTCGATCGGACCGGTTACAACTCTGCTTTGTTGTCTTCTCAAAAATAAAACAGCTTTTCTATATTGAAAACGGATTTCGCATAAATCTACAGCTGAGATAGTTCTCAAGCAGATTATTTTAAAATGACTAGGCACTTTCTCTATATTGATGTTAAAAATATACTTTAAGATATTTTGTGTCGGATTCTCTATTTGTTTTAGGAAAAAGTTTGTGTGGAATACTGTAATCAGGGTTTTTGACTATTTTAGACAGCCTTTATTACTTTAAGCAAAAAGACTAGGACGCGCTACGATAATTAGAAAAAAAGTACTAAATTAAACAATTTTTGATGATTTTTAGCTAGGAAAATCACAATAAATTTAGGACAACATCAGAATTATCAAATGTCCTGCTTTGACCAGGAGACTGACTCCTGATGCAAATTCTCCTGATTTCAATTCTTTTCCTGCTTTCGATTTTAGCGACATTTTGGACTAATAAACAAGTGAAGAAGAAAAAAGTAACTGTCGATTCTATAACAAACAATAGTACTTTTTCATCAAGAAATTTTTCAAAAATATCATGGACGGTGTAGCAAATGGCTTGTTCTCCCTATTCGCTTTGTTTTGGTTCTTGTCGTTTCTTAAAAAATTATTTATGTCTGTTTTATTTCTATTGTTAAATGAACAGCTGCGAAAATACCAGTAGAATAAACTATATGTGATTATATTTCTCTCTTTTTCTTTGTTGCGCATGTAAGACAGACCTTCTCATTACTCTCTTAGTAGAAAAAAGTCAGAAGCGTTTGTGGGAATGAAAATTTTGCTTGTTGAAGAAAAAACTTCCTGATAGTCTCCTGATTTTGAAAAAAAAATCCCCTAATCAACTCCTGATTTCTAAAAACTGGATTTTGACCACCCTGGAAAACACATACTGTAGTATGTAAGGAAAGTTAGCACCCGATTCGAATATTTTAACGTCAGATTTATCAATGAATCTGGTTTAAGAAGAAACTTTCTTGGTCCAAAGAGAGCTCGATGAGCTCTACAAAACGGTGTATTTTATTTTTCTATACAAAGAATGGTTTTTGAGAAAAACTTAAAAGAGTGTTGTTTTAATATGAAAAATCACAGATTTTTAGTAAACATTTCCCAGATTTATTTCAAGACTTGATCCAGCACTAAAACACACATTGTTCAATAGAACTCGTCGAGACGCATGTGACCATGTGCTTTGTTGGTCTTCATCTCGACAAAACATCAGAAAGTTTTTCAAAGAGCGGTTTTTCTTGTCATATATGGGAATAAAAGTTTAAAATTGAAAACTTCAGGATCTGGTTAATTTTGTCCACTAGACATGATTATAAGATAGAAAAACATTGGAATATCATGTTTTTGTTCATAGGTTTCTAGAAATCCTTTCGAAAAAATATAGAGTTCCCTAAATGGGTTTAAACTATATTTATTTAAAGAAAAAGAAATCCTAATAACCGTCGAACTAAAGCGGCAAATTGTCATTACATAGTTCAAGGAGTTAGTTACTTTACAACGTGTTACTCTTTTCCATACGAAAAACAACAAAAAAATAAAATAAAGGTGAAAGAAGAGAAAAAAGGCTGCTGGTACAGTGAATAGATGAAGTGGAGGGAAGGAAAAGAGGGAGTGTCGATCAATGCATGTAAATATTGATCATTGTCTATTTACCACCCCGAAACGCTCTGTTTTTTGTATATACTTTATAATGATGTAGTGAAGACCTTTGTACAAGTTTGGTTTAAATTGTCTTCTGAGTAGTAATGTGTCCAAGTCAATGTCTATATTTGAGTCATGATGAGATAAGTTGTTAAAAAGTTCTTTTCTGGCTAGAACATAGTTCGGGCATTGAAGAAAATAGTGTTCTACTGTCTCTTGTTGTTTACAACTATATAAACTTGTTTTCTCCTCTTTGATTACACCTCTTCTCCACTCTCATCTGATGGATAAGCAATGTCAACATTTCTACTTATTTCTTTTTGTACTCTGATATTTTTACTAATTCTAAAATATTTTGTTATCTTCTTGCAAAATTCTTTAGTTTTTATGATTTTTCGCAAGTAACATCGAGTGTGTTCTAAATTTTGGTGATTCTTGGAAAGAAAGAGGACTGATAATCAGTTGTTTTTCAGAATATTTGTTTTACTTTTTACAAATTATTAGATCGAGTGTGATAATTTTGATTGTGTATCGGCTGAATGTATTTACATAAAAATGTCGGTGCTTAATGTGTGACAATCTTATGCATTAGTTTTAAATGAAAGATGTTAAATGTATTCTCGAAAGTTGTCCATCCTAAAATATCTCGAACCTTACGCTGACTAGATAAACGTAATGCACCTGATACTATAAGTGAAGCTTTGTATTGTAACTAATCGAAAATACAAATATTATTTTTATTTACATACACACAATATGCATAAGTTATTATTGGAAATATGTATGATTTATATACATTTGATTGAGTGTCAATGTGCTGAATGTTCTCTTGAATATTTTCATTAAACTTATCACTTTTTCACATTTTGACATATTCCTGATGAGATTTTCAGTCCAGATGTTTGGTGAGAAAAACTCCTAAATGTTTGTGGTTTTTTACTTCTTTTAAAACAACTTTGTTTATCTCTATTTCCTACGATGTTCTATTATAATTAAACGTCATACATTTACATTTATTCTCATTCAAGGGTAACTGCCAGTTTACTGACCACCCATGAATTTTATCTAAATCACTATTAAGTTCTGCTGTTAAGTTATTAATATTCTTTCCTGAATGATCTAAAACTGTGTCGTCTGCAAATGAACGTGTAGTTGATGTTAAAGTATGACTTATATCGTCAATGTAAATTAAAAATAACAAAGGACCGAGTACGCTGCCCTGAGATACGCCTCGATTGGTCGGTAACGATGCTGACTGCTTTCCGTTGACAACTGTTATTATTTTTCTATCTTTCAAATAATCTTTAAACCATTCGAGTAATATATCATCAACACCTTTCCTCTCTAACTTATATATTACTCCGTTTAACCAAACTCGATCGAATGCTTTTGAAAAATCTAAGAAAACCGCTCTTGTTACAAAACCCTTCTCGGTATTTTGGTGAGTCGAATGAACTATGTCTATTAGTTGATTTACTCTCTTGCTGATTTGTAATATTAGATGAAAACAGTCGGGAAACCCTAATTATTAAACAACCCGGTTATCACCAGGTTCTTGAACTCTTTTCTAAAACCAAGCATAGCCATCAGATTCAGCATCATCGATTAACTATGATCCATCTGTTTACTAATAGTCAACGGGTACCGATCCTGGGACTCCATATCTCCACCATACCCAAATCGTGGAAAATCAAGGTCTCGGTTGGCTTCCATTTTGAAGAGAACACTTTGGGCTATCAATCCATGAAAAGAAATGAACATAATCCTACTAGAAGTTCGTGAGACGTGGCCAGATTTTCCAAAAATCCAGTACAAAAAATCTGTTTCGGAAAATCTCTCTGAAAAATTTCTGCTTGAAGAAACATTTCACCGGTTCTCGCCCTTCGAATACCGAAAACTGTAGATCTCTAGCCGCTTTTTGTTGAACGTTATTTAAAAAATAGCTAGCTACTGGGCTCTTAATTTCAAAAGGGATAATAAGTGATAATTACGGCGAACGTTGCTTGCTCTAGTGCTTTGAGACTAAAAAAATGCCAAAATATAAAGGTCTGAGATTAATGAGAAGTATCTCTATCAGTAGAATTACACTTACAGTTATTTAACTCGAACAGAATTAGAAAATGGAAAACTTGAACTGAAAGGGGGAAAACATGGTCATTTGACGGTGCTTCCGTAACGACGTTTTCACATGAATTCTGACATTAGTTTAGAATGAAGCAGGCTGAGATTTGAATCAAAATGATCAGTGTTTATTGCTACCGGCTTCGTTATTGAACAAATAAATAAATCGTCTCTAAACCGGCCGTTACGTGGAATGGCTCAGATATTTGTAATTTATATTTTCGAATAAACTAACCATGGCAGGTAAAGTTTCTATTCGTACTATCAAAACTGACAACGGAGTCGTTCTTACTCTTTTATCAGAATTACGATTTTTATGTAATAGAATACCGTCAGAATAAGGACAGATAAAAATATAATAAAAAATTTTTATGTCAATATTTTTTCTTGTGAGTTATTTCGACTATAATCCGTATTTGTTTTAAACTTTATTTTTATTTTATTTTTACAATATTTCGGCCCTTTATACGGTCATTTTCAAACGTAAAGCTGATTGTACATAAAAGTATATATATAACTTGTTTTCTTTTTCCTTTCTTTTATTTTGACGTACTAGTCTGAAAGAAAAGATTCACAACCATTCTAGAACACATGTGTTTTATATGCGCATATAAAAAATGAAGTTTAAAATAGTTGCATTAATAATCAAGTTTTTGATTAATAAGTCGTTGCCCGCAGAACATATCATATAATCTGTATATCTGACAATACATAATTCTCATTTCTTTTATTAGATTAACTTGTTTCTAAAATATTTTCTGTTTTGTTATTAAACTATTCTTTTCATCCATTCTAATGATGTCGAATTAGTTGTTACAGAGGCGGCGGAATGATTTTGAAACTATGGGTGCTCAAGAACAAGAACGCAAAGGAAAAATAAGTTTCCACTGAAAGGAAACAAAACTTTTCAAAATCTATGGGTGCCAAAGTACTCACGATCCCCATGGTTCCGCGGCCTCTGATTTGTTATATTCGTCAATATTATATATACCCAAAAAAATGACGGATATATATACTTTTCACTTCTTCACACAACAATGTTCATTCCTATAGTATCATGAATATCATAATTTTTCTTTTCTATCCGTGGAGTAACTACACGTTTTTCTGAAAATCTCTAAACTTTTTGATAGTGGAAAATTGTTAAAGTGACATCATTCGTTCAGTGAATGATCGTTGTTCCTTTCATATAGTAATTGACTCTTTACAAAATCAATTTAATTGTTATTGCCTAGAGACTTTATGCGTACCCGTAATTCATCTTCATACACAAATAGATTGAACTGAAATTTGATAATTTGATAATACAAGTGGAAAGAATAGCGTTATAGTATTCTAAATTAAAACTATCGAAAAACACAAAATCAATTTTCTGTAAATAAATATTCGAACACGCGAACTTAGCTTTGCAATAAAACCGGAAAACTCAATCCAAAATTACGAAATAAACACACAACAGCATAGCTACAGACCACAAGCTGTATAAAGATGTTTTTACCTTAATGTTCTCTATTCATCTTTGTTGACTGTGTTTCCTCTATATTTAAACTAACTTGTCAGAAGAGCACCCATTTTCAAATAGATCAGAGATAAACCATAACGATAATCAAGTAAACAGTGTTAGTTAAAGAATGCTATATACATATCTTTCAATATATTAACTTTGGACTTCCTGATTAGCACCGTGACATGACTCTTTCGCAAATAAGGCATTTGCTCGTCTATAATATAGTTTAATTATAAGCAGTTGAGTTTTTCGTGTATCTAATTTATATTTTATCAGAAAGAAATAATGAAGCTTCATTATTTATATCACTCATTTGTCTATACATTTGTTGTATTGATTTATCAGATAATTATCAATCGATGTAAAAGTGTATACATGGCAGATTTAACCATGTTTTTAACAAGCGTAACCAATACATTTGTTTTTTTTTATCATAGTCAAGTAGAGCCATTCGTATTTACAATAGTTTGTTCGTACCCTGTTTGACTGACTGTCTCCTTAGTACATGTTTAAACACAAAGGTATATATCGTTAGTATTGTCTATTAAGTATTTTTAAAAAGTCGTTTCTTAGTAAAAGTAGTTACATGATCCAGCATTAAACAAGTGACAGTAATTGGAAGAAAACTGGAATAAAAGGTGGTATAGTAAGCATTTTTACAGAAGACACTACAATTTATTCTTTTAGCGTTTCAAAGAGAATTAGAATGTTTTTTTAACTTCTATATTTACGAAGCTCCGTGGAAGAGTCGATGAATCGATAAGCCTACAACCAGCTCGAAACACTTGAGTTTGTAAGACAGACATTATTTCTGTAAATGATTATGTGAATAAGAATCAAGCGTTGCGTAGTTCTGAAGAAAAGTTAAAAATACTAAATGTTATAGCAATATCATCGAGTTCGACAACACTAAAAACCTTGAGAAGTCCAAATTTTTGTGGCAAAGATCTTTGATGGCAGCATAAATTTAAATTATACTCGCTTAAGAGATCGAGGGGCATTTTTTAGATCATTTTTAATAGGAAAAGGATTCTAATTTGTACTGCAACACGGTTGTTTTAGGTTTTCGTTGACAGATATTTGTACTGTTATTAAGTTATACAACAATTGAAAAGGATCAACACAGTTCTGTTCAGTGAACAAGAAAGAGCGTCAAAAATGCATGGTATTCTCCTACATGGTAATATCAGCTTTATTGAAGACACATTTTGCAACAAGAGAAAGAATGAATTCTATGACAGGAGTAGAGGCATTAATGAGATTAAAACAAGGAAAAACGATCATTATTTCAACCAGCTCCTAAATATGGTAATGAAGATAGAAGAACAGTACATTTAAACGAGACAATATTAGCTCGTAGATAATGTTATGATTGAAAAAAATTAACCTTTTTTCAGTAATGTATTTTTTTATTGAGCACAATTTTAATTCTGTTCATAATTAAAAAGAACAAGAAAACAAAAATATTCGTTAGAGCGATAATAACAGAGAGAAAACAACGGAGGACGAGAAATAGCATACACTAAAAAGTGAAAATAATCTAAATAATTTTGATTAATAAACATAAAAGGACGGCAGAGTAGAGGTGGACAATGTCTGTACCATACTGACGATACTCGTACTCCTGTTCATACTCTAGAATTGTCGATAAATGTATATATATCACTGTAAAAGAAATTATTGCAAAAAAAAAATTATTCATTTCTATCATTGATTGTACAAACGCTTTTCAATACTTGATTTTAATTTTCGAAATAATACGTAACGATCTTTACCAACAACAGAACTCTAAAATTCATTAACTACGATTAATAATGATTAAGAAAGAGAGAATATACATACTGTGTATAAATCAAGTCCATTCATATCAGATCGAAGATTTGTTACCGGATTACGAAATACAATACGACACAGAACGGACATGTCACGAATAGATGTTTCATCCTAAAAATAAAAACATAAAAATGAGAATGAGAATGATGTTAGAAAAAATGAAAAAAGCGTTTCTGTCATAGAAGTTTAATCATGAACGTTTATCTTTATGTCTATCAACTTCACAGTGAGAAAATAAAAGTTAACATTATACCAAGAGAACTATTACTTTCGTACAAATTAAAGTATATGTGCCGTATTGTAAAATATTACTGCGTTTTGTTACTTAACATTAGATACCACGGTAGGTAAAGTTTTTGTTTGACACCCTTCAAAAATTTTAGGCACAAATTCAACTGTGTTATACATACCATGGGAGGTAAATACATTCCAAAACTGAAACTATATTCATTCATATCATCAATAAATGCTATTCATAAAAAGAAAAGATATTGATTACATCACTGAAAAGGATAGAAAATACATTCACTTACATCTAAATACGAGATGAATAGCACGATAAAAATGTTTACTCAATTGTTCACCTATAATCATCAGTTCCAAATCTTTCAACGGTGTCTAAAGACATAATACAAAATTATTAATATGAGAAAGAATACTGAAATACTGAAGACACTTTTGAAGAATGACAAAATTATATTTCCAACATAAATGCGTGACATTATGCAAGGATTCAGATAGTAAATCTTTCTAATATTGAATTACTCACTAGATGTACTATAACATACACGTCTCCCACAGAAATCGTTAATCCTAACATGTAGTGTACTTGTAAATAATCATTGAAATAATTTTTATGCGGATGATCTTTTGCATATTGTTTTGAGGCTTGTCTTGTTCGTTCAATTGTCCCATAATATGAATCTTTACCCAAACTAACTTGAAGATGTGTATGTATCTGACTAGCACCCGATTTTGGCATAGCATCCCATATCATTTCTGGATACGAATATTCACGTTCAAGATTATGAGCTTTTTTAAACCATTCTTTGCATAATTCAAACATATCTTCTAATTCATCTTTTGTCAAACGTAATGTATCATGATTACGACTCACAATCAATGTATGCCACCGATCATATTTAAACGTGTTTGCAGCAGTGTATGATAATGTACGTTCTAAACGACCAAATGAATCTTCAGCAGTTGAACTACAATATAGGCAAGAAAAAAAGAATGTGTTAGAAGTCAGCGAATAAAACAGATTATAAAACAATAACAGTTCGTATTCAAACGCTATTTATACTTAAAAGTAAAGAGCCTATATCTTTTTGTTTACCCTTGAACTAAAACTAAAGCAACAGCTCCAAAACACAATCCTAAGCTAGTAATGTTGATACTGAGAAAAACGTGAAAAGAAATTCATAAACGATACCGGGTGTTTCAAAAAATATTTAAAACATTATTTGTTTCACATATATCTCTGCTTCAGCGGCTTATAGAATGTCAATTTCTATTTTAAAAGATATATTATTCAATTTTTTCACAAAAACTGAGTTGTATAAAGTTGTTGAGTGTATTGTAAAGGAATATGAAACTAAATTTCTTGAGACCGAACAATGAAATCTAAATCTGTTTCTCATACCGGATATAATCGTTAAAATAATTTAAGTTTTGTCTCTCGACAGCGAACAAACAGCACTTTCGAACAAAGTATAACATTTTTTTTATCAGTCAAACTTTTGTTTTGACAAAAACGGTATTCAATTAGCCGAACTCATGTTAAATAATACATCTTTTGAAACAGAAATTGACATTCTACGGCTCATTGAAACAGAGATATATATATATAGAGATATATTTTGGGACACTCAGTACAAAAAAACAATAATAAACTCAACCATATAGAGAATCATAATCGTGTTCAAAAGTGATTTTTGAACACGACTAGACGTGAGACATGATAGACAAACATGTGAAAAGGATGTCTCGATCGGTAATTGAAGCGAAGACCCTCTGGTAACAGGCCAGAAGTTCTAGCTACTAAGCTGCTGAGACATGACCTAACATACACTCTCAGTTCACATGAATGATTTTAACTATCACGATCTCGACTACTTTCGAATTTTCTTTTCACATGTTTGTCTGTTAAATGATGTCTCACTTCTAGGCGTGTCAATAAGTCATTTTCTAATTTCATTAAATTCTTGTTTCATAATTTATCTGTTTATAATTGTGTTCAACAAGCAAAAACGAAAAAAACAATATCAGTTATCCAAAAACTAAACAAAATTTTTTTACAATCTATCCGAAAGTTGAGAGACTAACTACAGCAGATTAAACGGATGGCTACTTACTTTAAATAATTTTTTCCACAAAAATCACAATTTTTCATTGTATCTTTCATCAGTTTGAATGTACTAAATAGAAAAAGAAAGAAAAACGATGAAGTAACACATGTAATTGAGACGAGTTTTATTAATATTTCAACAAATGATTTGTCTTACACATGCAGAATAATATATAAATATATACGTAACAAACGCTAATCTATATCAATGTTTCCCGTACTAGTTTTCTGGTGATAGTTCACTCGTTGATTGCGGACGTTTGCCACGAATGGAATTATAAATCATTTCTTCATGTGTATAACGATTATATACTTTAAGTATTTTCTAAATTAAACAAACAAATAAACAATGTTATTGAAGTACAAGAGAATATTATCCAGATCCACTGATCACATGTATCCACATTATAAATTGATGAACATGCTGTAAGACAACTTATTAACCACATGTGTATACTTAAATATACGTGTTTTTTTCCTCTAAATCAGCGGAAGTTTCTCGTCAAACGATTATTGTCATCTAAAACTATCAGAAAGCATAAATACAACTTACTTGCTTTCTAATTTGTGTAATTAATTGCTCATCATTATTTAACCATTTTTTAACCTTTTTCAAATAAATTGGTGATAATTTCAACGAACCATATATTTCATCCAAACGAAAGATCGAATCAAACTTATTTGCCAACTGTCTAAAATTTGAGAGAAAAACAAAATTTTACAATTTATTCTCACATTTTGATATTCCAAAGACCTTACCTACATGCTTCTATCGAAGATTTTCGTGTTTGTGAGATATATGTATATAGATTTTCTAATAGTAACGGTGACTCAGTATTAAAACAGTGTTGCTGATACCACATCTAAAACGAAAAACAAAATAACACATAGATAACTGCCTTTCCTTTTACAATATACTTTTTCCCTGAAACAATAGGTCAAGTTCGTTATTCGAGTAAACTTTCTATGTTTAAGAATAATATCTCTCACAGAAGGAAACAGTCAACGCCAACTTACTGGTGATTTGTCTGGTAATGTCATTGTGAACGGTGTTTGTTGACCATTGAGTGAATCATTGAGATGTAAATACGCAAATGTGAGAAATAAAACAACCGAAAACAACAAACATATTGAACATGCGTCACGTTTTAATTGAATAGCCATCATTGGAAAACACGATCGACAAAGACGATAAAAGGGTAGACTTAAACGATATAACTAGAAAACAAAGAATCAAAAATAATAATCATTAAATACAGTGATCTATGATTAAAGTTAAAGCAAAACAATGAATACAATTAATCTATGCAGGATGTTATGATATAATGACTACCAAGCAAATAGTATTTTAAAAACCAAAATAATAATATAAAGTCGTAAATAGCAACAAAATTCTGAATTTCTTGCCTTATATTAATGTTCTTACTTTTTAACGATATAAGGGACTTATTAAAATAAGCAATGAGAAATAACTTAGCACCAAAAGCGATCAAATATTTTCAAATTTTTATATCTCTTTCACCGACATTAAAAAACAGTAGCAGTTATTTAGACAAAATAAAAATAAAAATTGAGCATAACTACAATTGATATCTTGATCTAGCTCTACCTTTCATTCCATTTTATGTCAAACAAAATCAATAGCTGTCAATCATAGCTTTATTACGTCGTTTACCCAGTTCATGTTTTTTTTCATGAGCTTTTTTGAATGATAAATGTAGCTTTGCTCTAGAAAAACAATTATAGAAAGAACCATAATGTACAGCCTTTGAACAATGTCGTACTTAAACGATTAATCTGAGTATTATAGTTGTAAGAAACATAGTGTTAGACTTGTTCGTGGTTCCATGTTTAACCCATTCGAAATTAAACATAAAAATGTTGAGATATTATTACCAGACTTTAAATACATAACACTTTTATGAGCAAAAATGTACATACTTTATGTTAACCGTCGTGTTGAATGTTATTCAGCATGCAGCAACAGTTTTTTCTTCATAATCATATGCGGCTTTTGTTTCTGATCTATAATGATGACAAACAAAGAACATATACCTAATTCCCACAGGACTAACAACTAACTAAAAACTTCTAAAAACTCTCCTGCTGCGACTGAATTGAAGCTTGAGAAATTTAGCAGACGCAAAAGATAGCAGAAAGCATACGGTAACATCTACAAATATACTAATACAATATCACAAAATCTTTTATCGTATGAGTATTTCATTTTCACTTCTGAAAGAATCTGATTTAACAGATAAATTAATAAATAAACACATATGCTATTATATTAGTTAGCAAGAGTAACAACCTTATTATATTGAGAAGATAAATAAAATCGATCAAATCATTCTACCTGTTATCTAGCATTGCTGCATGATTTAAGATACCTATGCATTGTAACAACGTTATTACAGAGCTCGATTTCTACACAAATTCTATAAATCTGATGTTTCTAAATGTAAAAACTTGAAAAAGTAAAACTAAAGAAATAGTGGTTTGCTATTGGAGATTGATTTGACTAAAGTAATGCTTATCATTATACTACTCTACGTGAGTGCCATACAAAGTCTCACGATATCATTATGGATTCAATACTCGTGAGAAAGTCACACAAGAATAAGAATTACGTTATTCCTGGCAATGCCACAAATTCTTCGCTGATTATCACGCCTTTAGCGCATTGAATGATACATTTTTCTGTGACATCATGATATGATAAAGCGTCACCTAAACGTTTTTGTTATCAACTTTTTTTTCACACGGTTTTCTTATCGTAGTATAATATACACAGAATCGTAGTATGTGTACACAGAACACAGAGTTCGCGTACTGTCACATCTAGATAATTCTCTGCATTTTGATGTTACGTGCTTTTAGGAGGACTATGGTATCACTACTACGATCGATTGTTTGTTTCATTTTCAGATAAAGTATGAACAAGAAAACAACGAAAACGCCGTTAAAAACATTAAAATAATATGTTCAAGCCAGCCAGAAAATTGATTCTTGAATAACTGCCATGCCGGCTAGACTATCATTTTCTCCTTTTTGTATTCAAACTTGATTTTATTAAAGCGAAATAATGAATGATAATATTTCATTTTTTTACATGTTATCAACAATGTATTTTATGTTTTTATGCGTTTTATAGCATAGACATAGATTCTGTTTTAAATTTTCATTTGCAACACTAGGCACGTAGGGGAAAAGGTACTATTCATCGTCCTCACTACTCATCTTTACGTCTTCATCACTCTAAATATGTTCGCATTCCATCTTCTGTTGATGGTTTTTCTCCGCAAACGGTGCATTCTTCTTTTGTTTTTTCAACTATTGCTGATTGGAATAATCTCCCAGAGTCAGTTATTTGTCTTTCTTCTTTAACGTCTTTCAAAACAGCTTTACTTTAGTATCTCTTCCAGT